CCTGCCCCATCCCCCGTCCCCCCTCCCCCCCCTTTGATCCCAGCCTCTCCTGCATTCCAAACACCTCATCCCCAGAGCCTGCACCCCCAGCCGGAGCCCTGACCCCCTCCTGCACCCTAACCCCAGGTTTGTGAGCAGGGCCGTCCTGAGGGGGGGCACCGGGCCTGGGGACCCCCCTTCCACAGGCTCCGCCCCTTCCACAGGCCCCGCCTCTGCTCTGCCCTTGCTCCGCCCCCTTTCCCAGAGCAACGCAGTCCAGAGGATTCTGGGGGCCTGGTGCAGGGCGACAGCGGGGGTTACCCCCTCACTCACCACGTGGGCGGCTCCACTCCCGGCTCGCTGCACCCTGCCTCTTGCGGCAGCAGGAAGCAGAGCGCCCAGGCGCCGAGCGTGGTGGGCCAGGAAGGGGCAGTGTGGAGCAGCCTGGCTCCTGCCGCCTGTGCAGTGAAGGGGGTGGCCCCTGCGGCTGCTGCGCCGGGCCCCCATCATCTCCCAGGTCTCTCCCGTTCATCGGACAGTTGGGGCTGCGGCTGCGGGGCCCCCACAAAGCGCCAGGCCCAATTCATCCTATGGGTGGGACGGCTCCGTTCGTGAGCATTCATGGCCTTCCATACAATTTCCCTACCCTGATTTTGGTCCCCTGGCCACAAAGTTTGCCCACCCCTGCTCTAGGCGTTCCTGTTTCTGCACACAAATGTCCTAGATAAAACCACCTGGGCTCCAGACCGGGCACCCACCCCAGTGATGGTGCTGGTAGGAGGGCAGAATGCTGCCTGCAGCATGTCCTTTACTGGTGGGACTCCCTGCTGCAGGGGGGGAGGGAAGCTGTTACCTTTTTCTCTTCGCTGCGTAAGGGGTCTTGGAAACAGGCTTTCTGCCCAGAGCCAGGAAGAGAACCCAGGAGTCCCAAGCCCGGTCCCCACACTAGAGCCGCCCTGCAGGGGAGTTGGTCGCTAGGATGGCTCTGTCCCTGCCTCTCCAGGAGCCGCGTCGTTGTGCCGGAAGGCCCCTTCCACACCCTGGACGAGTTCTACCTGCAGGAAAAGGCCACCAAGACCCTGCAGAACGCCACTGAGGGCTTCCTCATCGATACCTTTGATGGTAAGAGCTGGCGGCAGGATACAGGGTGGGGGTCAGACCTGGAGAGCCCAAAGCAAGGGGACAGACCAGAGAACCCTCCCCGGGTTCTGCTCGAGCAGGCTAGTGGCAGAACCGTTACTAGAACCCGTGTGTCCTGATGCCCAGACCAGTGTCCTAACCACTAGGCAGTGCTGCCCCTTGTGGTGCTGGGACCTGTCTTTTCCGCAGCACTTGCTGCCAGAGACCACAAATAGACGGTACGTCAAGCCCCAGGGGGAAAAGCACATTGAGAAACGCTAAGATTAATGTAACCTGCGGAGGTGGGTAGATGGTCCTCAGGAATGGATAAGTGCCTACTACTGCTGCTAGCTAACAAACTCAGCAGTAGAAGTCTTGTGCCTAGAGCAGCAGGCCCTGGGTTCGAATTGTGGACCGGGCCGTGTGTGCTGTAAATGGGGCTTGCTGGCTCGGTGCTGCAGCTCTCACCGTGCGCCCTGTATTTTTTCCCATCCGTGTGCGGAATACATTTTGTTACGTGCACTGAGGCATGTGCGGGGGGGCACCACTCGTAGACACGTGCGCCGCCAGCCGTGGGTGCTCTGCCAATCAGCCGGGCGCCTTTCCAGTCCCTCTGGGGTGGCCGCCCACGCGCTCGGCTCACAGGGACCGCCGCTTGCTGGCGGCGCGCTTCGTTGCAGAGAACAGGGGCACCCTGCGGGCGCTGGCCGACGACGCGCGCTACGAGAACCCCAAACTGAGCAAGCTGGAGAAAATCCTCCTGGAGCGGTTCCACACCCCGGGCAGCGCCCGCGGCATCATCTTCACCAAGACGCGCCAGAGCGCCCATGCCCTGTACTTGTGGATCCGGGAGAACACGACGCTGACTGGAGCCGGCTACAGCAACCAGACCAAGCACATGACCCAGGTGGGTGTGCGTGGGGGGAAGGGGCTGGCAGTGCCCAAGGAGCTCACGGTGTTCTCTGCCCACATGCCCCCTGGAGAGGGGCCATGGGACAGAGAGAGAAACTGAGGCACAAAAAAGGAAGTGCCGCGTTTCCCAGGCTGGAGTCAGAGCTGGGAGGAGAACCCAAGAGTCCTGATTCCCACCCCTTCCTCTGCTCTAACCACTAGGCCAGGAGTGGCCAACCCGCGGCTTGTGAGCCGCATGCGGCTCTTCACCCCTGAAAGTGCAGCTCGTGAAACCCCCTCCTCCCCGGGGTTCGCGAAGCTGCCCCATGTGCCCCTACAAATGGCCCCCAACTCCCTGTGCTTGCCGGGTGCAGGGGAGCCATCCGGCGCAGCCACATGG